GGGGGACGGGCGGGAGGGGCGGCACGCGGGGGGCGGGGGGGGCCGCTTAAAGGGGCAACGGCGCCTTAAAGGGGCAACGGCGGGGTCAGGGAGGCGGGGGAGGGGCGGGGTGTGGGGCTGATTATGGGGGGGCTCTAGGGCAGGTTGTGGGGCTAAGGGGTGGCCATGGGAGGGTTTGTGGGGTGCCTGTAGGGCAGGGTGTGGGGCTGGATATGGGGCAGAGTTGTGGGGATGGTTATGGGGTAGCTGCGGGGCAGGTTATGGGGCAGGGTGGCGCTATGGGGCTGCTCTAGGGCTGTTGTTGGGCTGCGGGATGTCTGTGGGGCAGGGTACAGCGCAGCTATGGGGTTACAGGGCGCCTATGGGGCTGTTTATGTGCTTGTGGGGCAGTTCCGGGGAAGGTCACGGGGCTCGGGGGGCAGCTTGGTTCTGTGGGGCAGGTTACGAGGCCGATTATGGGGCAGTTATGGCAATGCGAGCCATCTATGGGGCAGCTTACGTGGTTATGGGACAGGTTACGAGCACGTTCTCGGTCCGGTGTTGAAGTTCTGGGGTCGAATTCGGGGTTCTGGGGCCGCCTTTGGGGCGCCCCCCCACAAGGGGCCCCCCGACGGTGCTGGAGGACCGAGCGCCATCGAGAGGCCCGGCCAGAGCGGCCGCTCCCGCCTTTGCCCCGCCCCTCCGGGCCCGTACGTCACTTCCGGCCGGGAGAGCGCGAGGGCAGCGCGGGAGCGAAGCGGCGCCGCCATGGCAACGGCGGTGGGGGAGGGGAACGGGGGGCTCTGAGGGGTTTTGCGAGGGGTCTGAAGGGATGGGAGGGTCCTGGGGGGGCCTGAGGGGAGTCCTGGGGGCGTTTGGGGGGTCCTGGGGGCGTTTGGGCGTTTGGGGGGTCCTGGGGGCGTTTGGGGGTCCCAGGAGCGTTGTGGGGGGATGCCGTGAGGGGACGGGGGAATCGCTGAGGGTGTTCTGAGGGGTCTCTGAGGGGCTGCGGGGTGTCCTGAGGAGCTGGGAGGTCTGGAGGGGGGTCCCGGGGAGAGTTGAGTGGTTCGGGAGAGTCCCTGAGGAAGATTTGGGGGAATCTGAGGGGATTGTTGGGATCGTGGGCAGGATTAGAGGATCCTGAAGGCTTCTGAGGGGACAAGGGTCGCTCTGAGGAGGATTTGCGGGGTCTAATCGCGTTCTGAAGGGAGTTAGGGCAGGTCCTGACCCGTCAGGAGAGAGTCTGGGGGGTCTCTGAGGGGTTTGGGGACTCGTGAGGGGTTTGAATGTGGCTCGGTGGGAATGAGGGGGTCAGGAAGGGCCCCAAAGAACCGGGGTGTCCCTGAGGATCGGGGGGTGCTGCGCTCAGGAGTTTGTGACCCCCAAACCCCCCCCATTCCCTCCCAGACCCCCAAAGTTCCGGAGGTTCGGGATGTCACCCGGATCGAGCGGATCGGTGAGACGCAACGCCCTCGCTTTGGGGGGGTCTCCCCTTTTTGGGGAACCCCACCCCATTTTGGAGGTTCAGTCCCGCTTTTGGGGAGGTTTGGATGCTCTCCAGTTTGTGTGGGGATATCCTAAAATCGGGAAAATGGGCTCAGAAGGAGTCAGAAATTTGGGGGATCGCTCCCAACTTTTGGGGGGGGAGTTGAGGGGGTCCCCAAAATGGGAGGGACCCTTTTAACCCCCCCCAAATTCCTTTTCCCAGGCGCCCACTCCCACATCCGCGGGCTGGGCCTGGATGATGCCCTGGAGCCGCGACAGGTACGAGGACTGGGGAGGTTTGAACCTTCTATGGGGGGGTCTGCACCCCCGGAATTTGGGGGTTCACCGCCCCCCGTGGCCCCCCAGGTGTCCCAGGGCATGGTGGGGCAGTTGTCCGCCCGCCGCGCCGCCGGCGTCATCCTGGAGATGATCAAGGAGGGGAAAATCGCCGGACGCGCCGTCCTGATCGCCGGGCAGCCCGGGACGGGGAAAACGGCCATTGCTATGGGTTTGTGACCCCCAAAAACCCCCAAATCCCACCCAAAAACGTCCTCAAATGCCTGTCCTGATCCCCAGGCAGCCCAGACAGGGAAAACTGTCGTTGCCGTGAGTGGGTGATTCCAAAATCCCACCTGATTTTTCCCCCTATCCCCCCAAATCTCTCTCAGACTCACCTCTGACTCCTCCAATCCACCCTAAATCCCCCAAATTCCCATCAAAGTCACCCCTGACTCCTGCAACCCACCCTAAATCCCCCAAACCCACCCTAAATTCCTCCTCAAACTCACCCCTGACTCCTGCAACCCACCCTAAATCCCCCCAAATCCCCCCTCAAACTCACCCCTGGCCCCTCCAGACCCCCAAATCCCCCCTCAAACTCACTCCTGACCCCTCCAACCCCCCCA